CCTCACAATCATGTGATCACAATCTGGGTGCTTGGCAACCAGCTCACACTTACGACGGTTGTAGTGTCCTGGGGTCACACGATCACCATTTGCAGCCTTCCCAGCTGGCTTCCGGCAAGCAAAATCAATGGGGAACCACATGATTCGCTTAATAACCATGTGATTCGCTTAATGACTGCTGCAAAAAAGGTCATAAAATTGGGCACAACTCACTTAACAACTGCCCTGCTTAACAATGAATTATCTAGTCCCTATTGTGCTCGTTAAGCGAGGACAACCTGTAGTAGCTCCTGAAGCATGCTGCTTATTTGGAATCACGCTGGTCCAGGTTTATACTCGGGCATCCACAGCAGAGTTTAAAAAAGGATGCAGTGCATGGTATAAGAGGGGTAGGGCTTCAACTGTGTGGTTGTGGACCCTGTCATTTTCTGTGACCCCCACCCTCATGGATGGCCCCGAGCTGGTTTAAGGAGAGTCATTCCTTTGATCTTGGGAGGTTAGAGTAGAATTCAGTTAGAGTTTAGAATTAGATTTAAGAGAGACAAATGCAAGGGGCCTTACATAGGAAAAGGGTCTAGGCTGCTTGGTTGTAAGCTGTGTGAAAAGGGTCTTGGAACTGCAACAAAGTGTGTAGGAGCCAGCGGTGTGATATGGCTGCAAAAACAGCAAATGCCATTTTAGGCTGAATAAACTGAAGTGGAATTTCTGAATCAGGAAACGTAAACATTCGACTTTGTGCCGCTTTGGCCAAGTGCCGCTTTGAGGTCTATGGCCAGTTCTGGGCACTGGACTTTAAGCAGAATGGAGAGAAGACAGGAGAGAAGGACAACGAAGTTGACGGGGACAGACCGCGTGTGAAGACTCTGTGAAGAAAGATGGAAAGAAGTGGGCATGGTCTTGAGAAAAGAGGCCCGGGAGAAGCTGCGCCTGCACTCTTCAGAAGTCTGAAAGACGGTCCCAGAGAAGCAATTCCAAACCTGCTTCCTTTCACGCAAGTAACGGAGCGACAGTCTTGGATCACAGGGAGGCAGATTCTGGTTGGAGGTTATAGGAAGGCCAGCCGCCCAGAGGAGTCACTGGGGATGGGCTCCCCTTCCCTGGACGGGCTCAAGAGGAGGCAGGACCACCATCTCTCTGGGGAGGCTTTGCTCCGGTTCCTGGGCTGGGTGGCCTCAGGGCTCTTTCGCGTTCTGCTGGGGACTTCTACTGGGAACGAACGAACAGGGCAGACTCCAAGGTGTCCTGCTGGAGTCTGGGTTTTGAGGGCCTGGCCAGCGTTGCGCCGATGGCAATCCAAGCTCCTCAGCACCTGCGTGGAATCCCTGGGGAGGGCCATCCCGAAGGCTGAGCAAAGAGATCTCCGTCGGTTTCCAGGCTGAGCAAAGAGATCTCCGTCGGTTTCCCGTCTGGGATGGTGCAGAACCTCTGAGCGGCTTAGGGCGGCTTTAGGTGGGCTTGCTGCGCTTCTACGGAAGGCGAGAATCCCTTTCCCCGAACCGCCCCCTTTTCAATCAGCCCTGTCCAGGCTTCCTGCTCCCTTGCAGCCCTGCTTCCGGCCTCTGACCGCAAGATCAGATCTCTTTTCTCGAATGCCCTGCGGCTTCGAGGGCAGCCGTTTCCAGCTGGCTATTTGGCGCTTTATTGAAACCCAGCACGAAGCCAGTGCAGTAAAGGTGCAAAGAGAAGAGCGCTCTTGCTTTGGGCCACCAGAGATGTGCTGGGCTGCAGGGTTGGCCTCTTCCTCTTCTGCTCGTGAGCAGCCCTGGGCCGGAGAGCGAGCGGCTTGGTCCAGGTGCTTCCGACGCCATCCTTTCACGAAGTCTTTTCACGTGCAGGGGCGCACAGCCGCCGTTGCTCCAGGGGAGTCAGGTGCAGGATTCCTGTGGGCCGGGCAGGGGGCAGGCGAATTCCTCCCCATGGGGGAAAGCCTGTAGCTCAGAGGGAGAGGCTCCGTCTTGTCCGCAGCAGGCCTGGAGTTCAGGGCGCGGCCCTGGGAGGTCCGCTTATGACAGTGTTGTCCAAACTTGGCCACTTTAAGATGAGTGGACTTCAACTCCCAGAAT